AAATAAATAAATAAATAAATAAATAAAATATTTGCTGAGGGACTTAAGCACTTAGCTGTATTAATTCAAGTAGGTAAGCCCTAAGCCTTGCTGATTATTTACATTCAAATCCCAAGACATCAAGAAACATAGTTGCTCATATTATATTTACTGCAAAGATATTCCTCCTCACATTGCCACATGAAAAGGTCAAGTGGCTCTATGTGCAAAGCAGACAAAATGTGAAAATGTGGACAGTGGCTCAAAGGCAAAAGAGGTGTTTGCAGACTATAACCTTTCCACGTGTGCTTAAGAAAATTGCCTTTTGTTGACGAAATGACAATTAAGTAGATTCTACCACAGACAGGAGGGAGAAAGGAAAATATTGGAAAACTCACCACTAAATTTCCTATCACCATGACCAGCAGAAAGACAAGAAGGCACAGCGGTGGTTCAGAAACCACCATGCAGTCCCACATGGTCTCAATCCATTCTCCACACAGAATTCGGAAAACGACAATTTAGTGAAAAAAGTCCATCATGTGCCAGCGTGGCTTGCCATCTTTGGTTATATTAAAGCGATTCTCCCAATAACTTCTCCCAAAAAGCTGCACCCCTACTATAGCAAAAATGAAAACGATGATTGCCAGGACGAGGGTCAGATTACTCAGTGCTCCCAAGGAGTTACCAATTATTTTAATTAGAGTGTTTAAAGTTGGCCAGGACTTTGCCAGTTTGAAGACCCTCAGCTGTATAGAAACATAAAACACAGTGTTAAACATCAACAGAGATAACCTACCTGTGTACCTTTCAGATCCCGCAAAAAACAAGTTACAGATACTCTGCACTATTCCAGCAATGCAATATTTGTGGTGCTGTGACACTAATATTTTTTTAAAGTATTTATAGATTTTTTTTTAACATTTTTTTTTTCTTTTAACTGTGTAACATTGCGAATATAAACCAACCATCTTGGGCCCAGCTAACTTGAGTCCCTTCTAAGAATCTGGCCCACACAGGCAGGTATCCTTACAATGCACGTAGGGGAGATCACAGTGCCCAACTTACACACAACACAAAGGACCAACACTGGGACACCAGCTGCTGTATTACTACAAAAGAAATCTATCTTTAGTTAAAGCAACCAAAATCAGTCCACAGTATATGATATCAATGCCTTAAGAACATTTCACATTTTTAAGAATTTTTTTTGCTGTATTTTTACTCTGACACCCTTTTTCCTATGTTTCTTGTTCTAGTTTTTGATTTTTGACACCAATTCTACAGAAAGCCTACTCTGGAATGTTTTTTCATAGAATCATAGAATGGCCTAGGCTGGAAGGGACCTTAGAGATCATTTAATCCAACCTCCCTGTCATGGGCAGGGACACCTCTCAACTAGATTAGGCAACACATGGGGACTGAACAGGGATCGAACCCATGACCTTGGTGTTATCAGCATATTCCTCTGAATACTTCTTAGTATATTCAAAAGAAATAATATACATTGTTAAATCCTGACTCTAACATCACAAGTAGTTAAAGAGTTTGTTCCTTATTCCCAGTGCCAAAAGAAGAAAGAAAAAATTAAATTCCTGCATCCTAACTGCAGATGACAGAAGTATTCATTATTATATTTACAAGATAAAGTTTTGTACAACTGAGTAAGTGTGAGGCATTACCAGTCTGAAAGATCGTAAAACTGACAGGGTTCCTCCTTTTCTCCTTTCTTTCTTGCCTTTGTGTTTGGGTAAACTCAGTTCAATTAAACTCAATGTGACAATTACACCATCAAAAATATTCCAGGGCTGCTGAAAATAATAATAGGGATCTAGAGCAATTATTTTTAAGATCATTTCTGCAGTGAAGATTCCTGTAAAAACCTGTGATGAAGAAACAGTAGCACAAGGTAAAATTAATTTTTCTTCTCTTTAGATCACATTCCCACAAATAACATTTATGGACAGGTCAACAAAATCCATTCTTACAGGTTTCAAACTTCTAATAGAAGAATTGCTTTCTGCTTTCTCAGGAGTGTGTTAGAAGTGTATCGATAAAATATGGGAATTGTCTATATTAGAAATTTATTCCATAAATGCAGAGTTTGTTAATCTTTAAGCTTTACAGTTACTCTTCATGTCTTAAGTAAATACACTCATCAATCAATCCTTGGTATAAAATGTCACATTACTGAGAATTTGCTTACCAAGTTGCCTACATTAAGCATCAATTTGAAACTATCTGACATATTATTGTGCTCCAGTGCCATGAACAAAGTGTTCATCACAATGCAAACAGTGATGGTGAGGTCAATAAAAGGATCCTTCATGAAAGCAGCCACTTTTTTCTTGATTCTCAACCAAAGCGGACAACAGTCCCAGATCAGATATTTTAAAGCAAAATCATTCAGGCATGGTGGGCATTTCCGCTGAGATTCTTCAAGTTCTAAATGCAAAAGAAAACCCCACTATAGTTAAATAGTTCTCACTGAGCAAGATGGTGAAATAACAACTTCAAGTATTCGAAATACTGGAGAAGAAAAAGGAAACCTCACAACCCACAGAGAGCCCCAAAGCTTCCCTGCACTTTCTACCAACCATGATGTCATGGTGCAGTCCCTACATCAGCTAATAAACATGGATTCAGAGAAAAATCAGCTTCAGAAGCCTTTGAATCAGATTTTATTTGTGTAAGGCTCAGAATTGTTCTACAATCCTGTTACTAAATACGAATATTTACACTCTTTTAGGTCAATGTAGCAGCCAAGGCATCTCTCACCTTCTACTTGGGCAGATGTCTAGGACACTGGCTGTATCACACCCAATATATTTTTGTCACCTTTGACTATCCAGGGAGTCTGGAGAGTCAATGGCAGCCACAAGAATCCTAATTGTAGGTGCAGCAAATCCAAACCAGAGTGCCTGAAACGTGGCCTTTGGCCATTTCTACTGGAAAGGCCGTGTCCATCATTTCCCAGCTGATGCATGGTGCCACACCTCTCCATTTTCTCTAAGTAAAACATGGCATAGAAGCTGCTCTGGCTTTGTCCTTCACATCCTTTTGATCAAATAGAAATCTTACAGCCTTTCTTTCTTCACCATCTATATTAACGAGCCTTCCAAAATACTTCTCGACCTACATAAATCCTGTGCAAATCCACTGACAAGCTGGAGAGTAAAGCTAAATACAAGCACAGTAGGAATTATTAGCAACCTGGGTTTCAGGGACCTGAAAATTTTTCAGAGATCAGATGAGCTGCATCTGTCTTATATCCTTTTCTTAGCTGGACCTGTCCTTATTTCTTCCCACTGTTTAGTTCCCATTTATTCTCCTCCAGGCTCAAGACTCATTGCTTATTTCAGTGTGATCACCTTGACTTGAGCCAGCTCCCAGTCTACCTCTTCTATTCTTCTAGATTAAACGGCTTCTTCTTTATTTTTTTAAAAAATTAAGAAAAGAGACCTTCCTACCATAACAGTACTCTCCTGCTAAATCTCATACTTCTGATCCAAGAACTAATGATAAAGCTCCTCAAGAGGGGAGAAACAAAGCATGACTTCCTCATCCTGAACAACTTTGGCTTAATTTTTTTCCAGTCAGATCTGAAAAAAAAGCTATCAGTCTTCAAAATAGCTGTCAGTGATACCCCACCCCTGAAAACAAAACAAAACAAAACAAAACAAAACAAAACAAATTCTTTTGGAAAAGTAAGTTAAAGGAATAAAATAGTGAGGTTAAGTATTCAAAACCCAGGAACTGCCGCAACTCATTTCGCTTTCACAATCTTATCAAAGGATTCTGCATGCCTGTGCCTTTGCCAGGGATATATCTCAAGTTGCAGGGTCAGGAGGAGAAAACAGTATCCCAATCCTACCCCTCAGATGCTAGAGAAACCCCTTTGACCCACTCTCACTCCAATCTCCTTCGCTGCCCATCCTACAAAATGCAGTCTTACAACAGGAAAAGGATGTGCCTCAGTATATAAAGACTGTGTGATAGTGCCTTTTTTTTTCTTTTAAAGCTGACTTAATGATGAAATTCCAACCTACACACCTACAAATCCCTGTTAACCTTTAAGAAATACATTGACATTTTGGTCTTTCACGCTAGCATTACCTTAGGATTGCAATAAGCATAATGAGGAACCACTTACCCTCCAAGACACTGGTAATTATGCTGACTACACTTGCTGCCCTTTGTCTCTGAAGTGCCTCGTTAAAGTACTCCACTGACAGATGAGGAGGCAAATGCATCACGCTGTTCTCATCACTTACAGCTGGCTGCTTAAAGAAGTAAACATGATTAGGGAGGTATCACAGGAATAAAACGAACTAGGATGCAACGATGGGTAACTATGAAAGTTAATAGGAACAATAACATGCGGGCAAATAAATGCACCTCTTTTACAAGATATAATAGATGTTGAGAATGAAGGTCTTATTTTTCAGTAATAATGTTGTGGTAAATGGGTTCTGCAAGCACAAACCTTGGAAATAAGGGAAATAGGCCTAGGAAATATTCCAGACACTAATGGAAAAGGAGAGAGATGGGGGATAAGCTAGTAGAAAAACATCTCTAACCTCTTGAGGAACTAATGACAAACTAATGATGAAGCTTCCACGTGATGCTACAGGTGGTAAAAAGAAGAAAGAAATGATAGGTACTGCTTAAAATGACACCTCTGGACAGGGTATGGTATAAAAAGACTCTCTGGTGATTTGGAATTCCAGCCCTATGAACCTTCAAAACTACCTTTGTACAAATAGTGAATAGAAGAAAAATGGGGTTTATAGCAGGAATGGTGAAGTCTGGTTTTCAGGAACTCATCAGAGTATTGAAAACCAGTTTCTACCAACAACTTATAAATAACCTGCATCAGCATGTTTCATTTCACATCACTGCTCACCATTATGCTGCAACTTAAGATGAGAAAACCCCACCACTTATAGAGAAACTGTAATGTGCAGTATATACTTAATATTTTCCTTACCATATCCCTTTTTCCCAGGTCTTCCATTACCGGCGGAAGCATCACGCCTTCAGAAGACACTGGATCTAGGCTGTGCACCCTGCTGCTTCCTCCTCCCATCACTGAAATCATGCCGTGGCAGTCGTCCCCGTTGGCCCTGCTCCGCACGCAGTTGGGGGTGCTGGGGCGAGAGCTGTGGCTCATCTGACTTTGCACGCTGGGACGTCTTCCCATCTGCGCAACCGACAGCGACCGATGCTGGATGCCGCGTTCCCCAGCCCTGCGGGTTTCCTCATCGCTGAAATCTGGCCTGGAATCCACTTCTAAAGCTGGTATTTGGAAATTGAAGACACTCCCATGGCTAAGTCTGCGTTTGTCCTGATTTGCGTTGGGACCATACACCAGGCCAAGGAAGGACTAAAAGCCAGAGAATGGTATAATATCATATGGAAAATTTGGGGAAGCAATAAATGTTTAGAATTTCATGACATAACCGGTCAACCATTGCAAGTCAACAACTCTTATTTGATTTAGACTTTACAAGAAGGATTATTTTTAGATCTTAAAAGCCAGATGATAAACCGCTATCAGCTGTAACAGCTATTTTTGTAATAAGTTATAGTTATATTTTATATATATAGTTAGATTATATTTATATTTTAACTAAGAAATTTTAACAGAGAATGATGGCACAAAAATTCTGATAGTCGTTCAACCTATTTCTCAATGTTTTAGAAAAGGTATTTTAACTGTTATTAAAACTTTTCTTCCCTCCGTTGCTTATAATATTTCCTTTTCAAATTAATTTTTGCATATAATTTTTCCTTATCCCAAAATGTTGTTTATTTTAAAGACTTAAGAGTGATCAGTGTTCGTAATGGGATTCGGTTTGTGCTCTCAAGAAATTAATTTTAGTACTAAAATGGGAAAAGCTGTAAGGATCTCAGATTCAGAATATAGATTACCAACTTTCGTTGAATGTCTGTGGACTGTGACTTGGGGACTTGTTCTTCTTCATTATCTTCTACCCCCAAGGATTTATTTCTCTTTTTTCTATTGCTTCTGTCTTTGATTTCTTTGGCAGACAGAGAAGAGGCTTCAAGGGAGCTAATTGACAGGATATCAATTCCTTTAATGGCCAATGACTGAAATGAAAATAAAAATATAGATGATACTTTTGCTGGGTACTCTGAATATAAGAAGAAAGAAAACACTTCTGTGCTCTGCATTATTTCCTCTTAAGAATTTATGTTTCATAAAACTCATTAAAAATCTTCCAATATGTGATAACACTGGAAGAAAGAGGGGAGAATACCCCCAACATATGGAGCACTGAACAATTTGCTATTTGCAGTATGTTACATGATCACATGTATTGGGCCTGCCAGGGGCAAAATAATCACATTATAGCTCTTATTCCTCCATATGGCAGATTTGCTTACAATAAAAATACTCAGTTTGAAAATAATGCTGTAGAATATATTTTTCTGAGCACTGTAAATGCTCAAACAACATTAAAATTCTGTCTTTTCATTGGGGAACCTTGGGACTGTATTCACACAATTGTCTGACGGAAATTTCCAGACTTAACTTAGGACAATATTTCAAAAACACTGGAGTATTTTGTTCTAGAAGCTTTTGAGCCATTTAGGTTATGAAGAGACTTATCATTCAGCTACAATGAGTTTTGGCTCAGATGTTAATGCAGTTGACCAATGGAATTAGTGTATATTCTCTGCTCAGCAGCCCACAACGATAAGATAGAAGAAAATGTAAAAAGCAGCTGTATTTTCATTTGGAAGCTGCTTGCTGATGGACTTTTATTTTGCCATATTTTAAAATACTATTTTCCTTACAGTAACAACAGCCTTTAATGTTCATTATCCACTAGAAAATTCACTGTTTCACAGGAAAAATACACAACTGAACAAAGGATTGCTCCTGTAGCTCTAGGAATCACTACTTTTGATAAGTTATGTCTTGTTCCTGTTCCAACGAGTGACTCCTATATGCAGCTGTACACAAGGAGTGATGCTTTTTCTTATGTGACTGACAACAGAACACTGAGACTAATGTTTGCAAGGGAATAATTTACATACTTCCTGCTCCTTCTGTAATAATTCCATGGCTTCCCGAAATTTCCTTTCCCTTGCCTCTGTTTCAGCAATGGTGGCCTTGTTCTGGTCTTCATATGCCATTGTTACTACAGCCAGAATCAAGTTGACTAGATAAAATGAGCCCAGAAAGATGACCAGCATGAAGAAGAGTACGTAAACCTTCCCAGAAGCTCTGAGAGTCTGTAAGCAACACAGCCCAGAGATAAAAATTAGCGTGAGAAATAGCAAGTAGGCTTTCAACGTGTCTCTGAAATCCTTTAGAATTGCTCAGCTTCCTAGACACAATGCTTTTAAAAACTTAAGTGGAAATAAAGCTTCCTTGGACCTTCTTCCCCCTCTTCCTCCACTGTCACCTGTGAGTCATTGATTCTCATAAGGACGACTGAGGAGGCAGTTATATTTTTGAATGACAATGTAGGACCCTTTTAGTAATTTTTCTTATTTCCTAAACCAGCAGGGTGACAGGGCTATTGCTGGGAAACCCTTTTTCCTGGAGTCACAGCTTGTGGGAAGGGAGAAGAGAGAATGTGGGCTCAAGGACTTGGAGCTATTGCTTTTATTTGAGGTTTCATGCCCTCTCTACATGCTTTCTGCTTTTGGCTCTTACTCTCCCTGGAAGGCCGGTTCTGAGTTATGCACAAAGCTGGTACCTGCTGGTACAGACGCTCCCAGTAGTCCTGGGTCATCAGGCGGAATAAGGAAAGAAAAGCCCAGCCAAACGTATCAAAACTAGTGAAATCATAATCAGGATTTGGCCCAATTCTCAAGCATGTATAGTCTGGAGGACAGGTCCTAGAAGTAATAATAAATAGTAGAGCTCTTTTAACCATGCAGGTTTCAAGAAAAACTTCAGCTTATGTGAGAGTTCTGATTATTATTCAACTCTTCATTTCATTATAATTGCAAACTGATTTTCTACTCCAGGTGGAATTGGCTGGAAAGTAAGATGGAAAAAGCAACACCTATAACCCAGTAACAAAGGAAGAAAACAGGCAGGAGTAGGCCACCAACCCGGGACAACTACCTGATCCCCAGTCCTCATCCTCTGCCCCTCACTGCAAAGCAGTCACACCTCCCTCCTGGCCCAAACTCATCCTTCAAAATCCATGTTTTGTTCTTCCAGTTTAATGCTCATGAGCCTACACAGAGAGTAGTGTGTTTGTCCCGTTCTATATGTGAGATCATGCATGTTTTCAGTTCTTTCTGTACATTCATGAGGAAGACAGAGACAGCACTTATCAAAAAGCTCAAAGGAATTCAGTAGGTTCATGCTTCATTCCCTGCAGGTGTCAACTTATCTGGCTCTTTCTTACATTTTGTTTTCTGTGTTCCTGTTTGTGCATTCAAGGAAGGCTTGGAATTGAATGTAGAAGAACTGAGGTGGAAAAAACTTCCAAAGAAGAAAGATTCTCAAGTGCACTTACCCAGCACCAGAACCACATAGCAAAATTTCTGACGTGCCTTCTTTCTTAGCAAAGTATGCTAGGAAAAAAAAAAAAGGAAATAAAAGAATTAAACTTTCTAACTTGAATCCTCTATCCTTTGATACAGATAGTAATGATTAATCAGTGACCTGTAAGTCTATGTACACATACATGGGCGGGTTTCCCATGCTCACAGTAACTGCATCAGATTTCAAAGAAATCTCGTCCTCATTTATAAACATCCACGCCCAAATTTCAGACTGAACGCAGTCCCTAAAAAAGAATTTTTAAAAATATTATCATTTTGGCCCCATCTGAATAAAGGAAACAAAAAATTGCAGGGCCCAGGTTCAAGTACAGTCCCTGCTTTGGTAATTGTTAGCACAAACTCTGGCACTGCAGTAATTAGTCTGAACATCATTTGGGGCTGCATAGTCCAGTTCTACTTCCAATGGGCATTAAGAAACAAAGCCCTGTTTTGAGGAGAAGGAGAGAGTAATTGGCTGTGTGGATCTACATCATGCTCTGCTCATCCAAACAGTGGGTCCTAACACTGCTTAGCTGAGAAATATGGATTTGTCCCTTGGGATGCTAGAGCTGTGTCTTTTTTGACCTCTTCCCCTATTTCTCTTCCATTGAGCTACTCTGATGCCTGAGCTAGCAGCAGACTGAAAGAAATTACATTAGTGCTAATAGCTAATTAGCCCCATTAAGATGCAAGTTTATTATCCCAGAGGTCTCACATCTTCCTGGTGCTTCTCAAATCTCAGCTGTGCTGCCAGGTAAGTCAGCACAATTCA